TTTTGCTTCGCAGCGCCTTCGAGGGGTCCTCTGGGATGAGGAATCCTCATCTCGGGACTAATTTGAAGGAGCCAGCAGCTCCTTCCCTTTAGTTCTGGGATGCGGAATCCTTTTCTCGGGAGTAATTTGAAGGAGCCAGCAGCTCCTTCTCTTTATCTCTGGGACGAGGAATCCTTATCTCGGGACTAATTTTGAAGGAGCCGGCAGCTCCTTCCTTTTAGCTCTGGGATGAGGAATCCTTATCTCGGGATTAATTTGAAGGGTCCAGCAGCTCTTTCACAGCGCCTTGGCTTTGTAACTTGGAATTGCCAATGATGGCAACTCGTGTCTTGGCAGGGGGCCTTGGCTTTGTAACTTGACTTTGCAACCTGACCGCAAGAATGGCGTTTGCAACTTGGCTTTGTGCCTTGGTTGCGCAAGGGTGGCCAGCAGCTCCTTCCCTTTAGCTCTGGGACGAGGAATCCTTATCTCGGGACTAATTTGAAGGAACCAGCAACTCTTATCCTTTAGCTTTGGGATGAGGGGTCCTTATCTCGGGACTGGTTTGAAGGGGTCAGCAGCTCCTTTCCTTTAGTTCTGGGATGCGGAATCCTTATCTCGGGACTCATTTGAAGGAACCAGCAGCTTCGTTCCTTTGTTTTGGCTATGCAAGAACAGGGCCATGTGCTTTGCGTCGAATGTCAAGTGGCATGAAACGGGCAATTCCTTTTGGCAATGTAGCAATCATCTTCCCCGGCGTTGATTTCAATAGACTTAGATCTTGGGCTTGGCCTTGGAATATAGGGACTCTTTTTATGGGGCTAGTCTGAAAACTCTAGAATAAGAATAGCTTCTAAAGATCCATTTTGATTGGTGCATGAGCCAATTCAGTTTTGGAAAGAACAGAGAAGTTCCGGGTCTTTGGTTCGAGCTAGAGTTGCAATTCTTATGTTACAATCCGTGATCCTTGGGGCGGGCGGCAATTACCTTTCATGGAGCAGCTGTGCGCTGTTCAGTGGCTGGCCTGGATGGGCGTTGCCTGGGATGAAGCAGTGCTTGGGCAGCAGCGCGCTGGAACACCTCCCCACTTGGTGCGCCGTGCCTTGTCTTCATCGTGGCTTGCTGCGCAGGCCTACTTGAAAATGTGGAAGGAGCGCTTCCACTACAAGTTGCTGCAAGCCTCCACAGTAGAGCACAAGGACTCGGTGAGACAGACACTGTTTCAAAAATTAGATCTTCTTTGTCCTTTGCGCGCGCTGTCACACACCAACACGGTCTCAATTTTCTTGCGCTTGCTGCCAGGAGCAAATGAGGGAGATGCGGAACATGCTGATTGCTTGGTACCTCTTGGAATGCTGCTACCTACTGGCGCCCGCTGACCTGTTCAGCTACAAGTGGTTCGCAAGGTATCTACGCCCGCGGCTGAAGGTTTGCGGGGCTGACCGAGGGATACTGGAGCAAGTGATTTTGCCTTTCAAGAACGGCCTCATTAGGCAGACCCATGCGATTTTTGATTTTCGCCTGGCTGATCAGAAGCCACGAAAGATTCAGCTTGTAGAAGATCCCGCTGTGGATTGCAGCATTGATGCCTGATTGCTTCGCGCTCGTCGCAGTCGAAAAAGATTGAGTGCACCAGCGCGAAGACAGTTCTATTGCCGCTGGACAGTTCCGGGCTCTCGCGTAGGCTTTCTACAGTAGGCCTGGCTTGGCTTTGGAAACCTATGCTGCTAGCCTTTTGTAAATTGATCGTTGGGAAGTTGACTTCGTCAGTTTCACGCGTCTTGCGTTGAGGCGGCCTCTACCGACCGACAGATGCAACTTAGGCTCAAATCTTTTGATATTCCCCATTATTTCATTGCCTTAACACCAGCTATGGCACCTAAGAAGCAAAGGCAATCCTACGCTGATGGAGTGATGCCGGCTGCTAAGGCTGTCCGCTTCACGCAGGGGCCAGAACAACTTGTGGCTTGCGCTCGAAAATGGGGCAACGCCGCTTGGGTCTTTGGAGGCGCGATAATAAGCATATGGGCCAAACATGAAATCACATTGTGAGACTTAAGGTCGACACTTTCACGAGCCGCAGTCGCATATAGTATAAATGAACATCTGAATTCAATGTATGTAATTCAGCGGGGTTTGCCCGATGTTTTTGCGGGCCGCGCCTTGTGGAGGCGCTGGGCCCGCGCCATTGTGGCAGATCCAATTCAGTGGCAACGCGCATCGGACCTTTACTTATCAAATGCTGGGTGCGGTGCGTGAGCTCTTGGAGAAAGGTGTGGGCGAGGATGCGAAGCCGTGGACCTTGAGTGACATGGAAACAAATTGGTGCATTCGGGTCATTACTGGTGGTCCGCCCCATTCAGGTTCTGTTGATCCGGATGGCCTTGGCATTGGTGAGTGGACGCCGGCCATATACTGCGCCGGCAATGACCCAAGGCGAGCGTTACAGCTCATTTTCGACACTTTGACGCTCAGATCCCGAAAGAAATCCGTGCATGATCTTCCGCAGTTGAAGCTTTGGTGCGATGGCTTGCCTGGCTTTGATGTGCCTGAGCCTTGGTCCTTGTGTGGGGGAGGCGATGTATCACCTCCCCGGCCGTTCAGCGTTCTGCCACCAAAAGGGCGGCGCCATATCCTTGCGCAATTGGAAGCGCAACCTTGTGAAGAGCAGGAAAACCGCGACACTGAAGAAGAAGGAGAAGAGGTGGAAGAAAAATACATTTTGTCTTTCTTTGGTGGGATCTACGCATTTAAGGATCGCTTTGATGAGCACCAGGCTGGATATCGCCAAATTTGATATGCCTTGCAAGGTTGAAGTTTTCAGGCTCGTCTATAAGAACTTTGCAAATGACAATCTTCACTCAGCTCTGCCTGTCAGGTACCTGGTGTGCTCGTTTCCAAAGAAGGCACTGATCAGCGGGAGTACATCAGGTTTCTCAATGGCCTTAAGCTTAACGATGAGCATTCTGCCAGCCGCGTGCGAACTGTTCTGGAAGACGTCCTTCTTGAAATTCCCGTCTTCTTTATCAACAACACCAGCCCTGCGAACCAGATGGCGGCACTCATCCTCACGCATGCGTCAGTTGTGCGTGGTGAAGATGTCGATGTGTGACCTCACGGCTTTTGTGGGCGGTTGAGAGTTTGTTAGACGAGGTTTGTTGTCTTCTATACAAATGCCTTGCTGAAACCGTGGCCCCTGGTATTTTCGCGCGTTGCAGCTACTCAGGCTTGCACAACGGCGCGTGACTTCAGAGGCCCTTTGCACAGCTGGCCCAGAAGAAATTTGCACAGATTTTCAGGCCGTCAGCGAGCCACCAAAAAAGAAAACAGCTGCTTTTGATCATGCGCATGTCACACACACACACACGCACACCTTCATGACACTGCGAAGCCGTAATCGCTCCAACCTAGTTGCTGTGGTCGATTATCGCTTCTCACGGCGCCGATAAAATTTGTGAAGGGTCTACCCGTTTGTTTGGAATGGAGAAATCATTGTGTCGATATAGCTCCTCTCCTTAGCTTTGTAGTGGGGAACTGTTTCTGATTGATACATTCGGTAAGGTTTTTGTAGTTTGCCGTGTTTTTCTTTTTCCAAATCTCGGCCGGAGCATTTGGGGATCAAGTATTTCACACAATCGTTCGACTTGCGTGTTTGCGCTTTGCAGCGATGGCAAGTGCAGAAGAAGCCCTAGAGGTGGCAGCGGCCCAACCTGCAGCGGCAGCTTTGCAGCGGCTGGGGCACATCCAAGAAGAAGATTTACCGCAAGAGGAGCGGCAGGGACAGAAGAAACCATGCTTGAACGACCGCATCATGGTGCTAAAATGCGATTGGTTGGAAATGGTTCTTCAAGGGAAGAAGACAATGGAAATTCGGAGCCGCAAGTATCGCCCTGGTTTTGTGTGGCTAGCGGCCAGCGGGAGCATATACGGTAGCGCAACAATTGACACGAGCGTTGTGCTGTCTGAAGATGAATTTAGAGCCCGTGGACCTGAGCATCAATGGCCTGCTGACAGAAGCCTTCCTTACAGGCGCCTTTGCGGGTTGACATTGACGGATGTGCAGCGGCTGGATGCTCCGATCGCCTACTGGCGCCCTCCACAGTCCATAGGCTGGAATCTTTTTCGCCGCGGGCCAGAGGATATGCCGGATAAGTCTGTGAAGCCCAAGAAAGGAAGGAAGCGCAGCGCGGTTCACCCAGAGGCCAATGGTGAAGGAAGGCATCTACGAGCAACCTCTCACTCCAGTGGCGCAAGCTGATGCAGCGGCTGCAGAGATCAACAAGTTCAAGCAGGACTGAGTGCGCGCACAGGTTCGCCTCGAAAAAACGCTTGACTCAATTTTCATTGACGCTCACCTGAGCGAACATCAGCGCGGCAATTCTTGTGAAAAGCCCGGCTTGCATCATTGCAACTGCACGCGTTGTCGCTTGCCACGTCGGAACCATATAACATGTCTGGCCGCTTGCTCATTGCTAGCGCTTTGATTTTACAACGCGTAGTGGCGTAGTGACAGGGATGCCTTTTCGTTTCTTCAGCTTGTTATTTGCAGTGATTTTGTATCAGCTTGCAGCATCTCGGCTCAACCTAGTCAATACAGAAGCGCAAGCCTTGCTATGGCGCAGCTTTTGGCCAACCCCGACATCGTAGCGGCCGTGCTGGCTGCATTGGATCTGCCTACGCAAGCACGCTGCTGCTCTGTGTCCACGCATCTCATGTCGCCGCAGACCATCGCTGCAGCCAGCAAATTTGCTGCCGGCGCAGTGGAGCACTTGACGTGCCCTATTTGCTACGCATCCCCTTCCATCGCAGCATCGGCGCTGCCCGCGCAGCAATTCCTCCGCGCGGCAGGCGAAATCTGGCACCTTGTGGCTGAGCCCTTGCTTCTACTGGACAGAACTGTTTTTGAATGCCCTGGCTTGATGGGGGATACGCTTGCACGCGTGTACATATTGGGGCAGCGAAAGCATCACCGACTCACGGAGAGTTGGTGGCGGCCCCGCTTGGTTGGGCGCGAAGATCCGCCCGCGGAGCCGTCGATCTTGGAACGGATTTTGCGGGAAAGAGGCATGAGTGAAAATGTTCTGGTGGCTATGTCAGAGCTCAACCACCCCTGTCCAGACATTGATTTGGCAATGGCCATTCTAGGCGGCGGGGACTGGTCCTTTCACTGGTTTCCTGTTCGATTTGATTTCGAATTCGAAGAGCTTCAAGAGGCGCAGGCCGTCTTGACTTTTGATGTGTACGGCGTATCCGGCCTCATCTATTTTCAAGAGTTTGACGCGCCGGGCACCGGGTGACAGCGACCTGAGCGCTGGCCGGTTTGCCCGGTTTTCAAAATACAGCGCGAGAGGGTGACAAAAGGAGCAGTGCGCGTCAAGAGCGCGTGGATATGAGCACAATGTTTCGCACGTTTTTCAATACGTGGCCGCTGCCGATGCTATTTGCGGCTCGAGCACTTGGGCTCTGGATGACAACACCTTGGCTCCTCAGATGCCCCATAGGGTGAAAAGCAGGGGCCGCGCAGCACCCAAGCGCGCAGCTGCTCGTGCCCGTTGGTCAGACATGTGTGAAGATGAGCTTGATGATCTGTGGCCACAACCTCCATTTCTGACATTGCCTTCACCAGTTTGGGCTGTTGACTACAGTGAGGCGCAGCAACCAGAAGCGCCATTCCCACGCGCTTTCTACTGCGGGCCTTCGCCCACGCTTGCGTGGGCAACGTACCTCGCTTGGGCTTCGCAGAGAGAATGCGAAGAAATCCCTGAATATTTGTTTCAAGTTCTCTCCTTTTTCGTGTGGCTTGTCTTAAGTGGCTCTTGCCCGGAGAGCTTTTTGACGGCCTTGCAAATCATGCTGCGTCGAACCCTGCCGGGAGCCATCAAACTCCCTGGCTGGGTGGGCCGCATGGTCTATGTTCTGTCTTTCGTTTGAAACTATAAGCCCTATTTCGATTTGGCCAATGGGACAGGCTTTCAGCACAGGATGGCGTGGTCGGACGAAAAAGAGCGCAGCTCGCCCTTAATTCCATTTTGCATTTTGCAACTGTCATTTCTTCAGTAGCGGTGACACTTGTGCTGATTGAGTTGACGGTTGTTCTATATAACTGTTCCCGTTTCCGGGCTCAAGCTCAGCACAGCTTTCTTGCTACAAATAGAGAACCCACAAAGTCTCGGAGCCATTCGCGATGTCGACCGTCGCCGTGCTTACCAATGTCAAGGTTGGTTTTGCGCGCCATCGCGTTGCGTCACGTTACATAGTAGGATAGGGCTAATCAATCCCCCCGCTCGGACCTTGCCAGGTGCTTGGTGTGGTCGTCGTGGGGTCCCACGCAGATGGTCTCTTCTACGCATTGGGCATCAGCGAAGGTACTGACGGCGCTGTCCTAAAGGAGGAGCTTGCAAGCTTTATGGTGGCCCTCGCTGCTGGGTTGACCGAAGATGACGCGGCGCAAGTGTGGCTCGAAGAAGCTTCGCAGTTGCGGGGCCCGCGGTCCGCCGGGCAACCTGGCTCACTGGCCGCTCCGTTGTCCATCCTGGCCTTTTCCCGTCTGCGGAATAGACGGGTTTTGATCCACACGCGAAGCAATATGACAGGGCCGCGCGATGTCAAAGACGCCAGCCACCCTGTGGTGCATGAGCACGCGCCCGTTACACATCTCCTTTTTGATGGCTCTTGCCATTACGATGCTTTGGTGGAGATTCCCGGGCCCGTAAATTTGAATGATGTTCAGCCCGCTTGGCCCCAACCGCTTTCAATTCCGATCGATACTAGTAATTCGGTTCAGGGCGCGATGCTGGACACAAACGGGCTTTACCCAGTCGCTTTTACACTTGCGCGCACTGGTTTGGAAACGCCGGGCGACGCATGTGAAGATGTTCCCTGGCTTCTTTTGTGGTCTTCTTTTGTTTCATGGGCCTTCCATCCAAACCGGCCGGACGATATCCCCGGCTATGTGTTACACATCTTGGCCCTGTATATTTGGTATCTCGGCAAGGGGGATTGTCCCGGATCCTTCTTGCGAGCAATGCAATGCGTGCTGCAGCACACCTTGCCGGCAGAAGCAACTTTGCCAGGTTGGTTGTGGCACGCTGTGCACACGCGCCGCATTGCTTGACAGACCATGGCCCGGTAGCGAGCCACCTATTGCATGAAGAATGCAAAAGCAGAGCAGTGACAATGTAAAAACGAATTAGCACACATTTAACTTACCCAACAAGTCTTGTCAACGTGGCAAGAACCCTTTAGCCTATAAAACTTTTGTTCCCAACCCCTAACTGGATAGGGTTCTGAAACAATCAAAATTTAAAGCCAAGGATTTGAAACCCAAAGGTTCTCTAGGGGTTAGGTTTTTGACACCTTAAAATGTTGAAAAAACATTTGAATGCAAGGGCGCTTTGGGACGGGGTCTTGGGTGAAGAGGGTTGTGGCAATTCACGGCAACTATCAGCCAAATCGATCATGTTATGGTTACAAGGTTTCTGGGCAGGAGCCTCTCCATGAAAAAGCTTCCTGGCAAGAGGTTTTGGATGAAAAGGCTTCTTGGCGTGAAGTTATTTGCGACGAAGCATTTCTTGAAACATGCCTTTTTTCTCGTTTCAAAGGTTCGTGACAGGGTGTTTGGATTAGGGTTTGTGATTAGATTTGTGGATTAGGGTTTGTGGCGGGATGTTTGGATTAGGGTTTGTGACAAGGTGTTTGGGCTAGGGCTTGTGATTAAGTTTCAGGATTAGGATTTGTGATTAGGTTTCTGGATTAGGGTTTGCTTAGGTTTTTGGATTCGGCTTTGTGACAGGGTGTTTGGAATAGGGTTTGTGGTTAGGTTTCTGGGTTAGGGTTTGTGAATCAGTTTTTGGGCGAGGGTTTGCTCAGGTTTCTGGATTAGGGTTGTGTGATTCGGTTTCTGGACTAGGGATTGTTTAGGTTTCTGGGCAATGGTTTGTGACAGGGTGTTTGGATTAGGGTTTGTGATTAGGTTTCTGGGTTGGGGTGTGTGAAAAAGTTTTTGGGTTTTAGGGTGAAGATCCAAAACCAAAATCCAAAACGGGCAACGTGTCAAGAAGCCTTTTCGCTCCAAACCGTGCAAGTATCTCTGTAACCACAAAAAAAAAACCT